TCCTATTTATTATGCAAGGTTGTAAGGGTTTTATTTAATTATGCAAGACAGTACAAGGAGTTAAATATAAGGTATTTCGTCTTCCGGGTGCCTCTATATCATATAACATCTCCCCACACGGTTGGATTACATATATTTGAATATCTGTAAGTGTTTGAAAAGTCATACGTGTGAATAATATGTATTCAAACAATTTAAAATTATTTATATTCTATATATTTTAATTAAACTAACAAAGACGGGTATTCATTATTAAGAAGATGTCGGCACATTTTTTCTCTTTCTGGCCAATGTGCAACATATACAATTTTACGTTCACAATATTGATTTTAAACATAATAATTTCTATAACTAGAGTGAAATGAATTCTTATAGTATAGTGATGATTTTTTTTGTTTTATTAGGTAATATAATATGCAATCTACAAATTAGGCGCAATAAGCATTTACGAGCAGTGTAACAAAAAAAAAAAAAAACAGACGAGAAAGACATGATTAAAGGAGCCACCCCCACCCATTAGTGACACTTTAGCTGTTGTAAATATACATCGTTATGTTAATTATAAAATTTAAAGTTAACATTATTATTATCTATTGCATTTAATATGTATTTTTTTATTTTAAACAGATTATGATGCACAAACTTATTACAAAAAAATTATAGCTAATTATTTGAAAATGTGGAATTTGCCAGAACTATGACAGTTAGTATTTAATGAAAATAATTACTATAATGAGATTTTACAAAATGTTATGTTACTACTGATTACATAGGTAGTAGTATTTAATATTTTTAAAATAAAATTAATTATAACTTTATTTTATGAAAAATAATTTAATATTTTTCTCCATACTGGTTCCTGACTTATAACTCATAAAATATTGTTATTATTTACTTTTAATATACCTATATATAATCAAATTATTTTTATGTTGACTTGGCCCAATTTATTCATTAACACGCTTGCTTTTGAAAAAATAATTTATACTTATAATATTGAACATACGTGCATTTATTATTTAAAATAAATTTACTTAAATTATTATTTTATGATTCAAATATTTGACATTCTAACACATAACATTATAATTAAAMGAATTATTAACACTTCCAACCATTTTCTGTTCGAATATTGAAGGATTTAGAGCGTATTATACCTTTTCGGCTGAAACGATTATGTGAATATTTAAAATTAACATAGATTTCCTTGCGGGTAACCTCACATTGCCTCCCGAATTAAAAAAATACTATTCACTTAAATTGCCTCCTATTTTAGGTAGTGGCCATCTTTACTGAAATYGTCTCTGATTGATATAATTAATAGATTTCTAGTACAAATCACAATTTTTTTTTTTAAATTAAAAACAATCATGAACGCATATAAGACAGATAAATTATAGGCCTAAATCAGAAATATTAAAAGATTTAATTGATCGAATACTTACCAATAATTCAATTCCCATTTATTTAATGTTAATTAAGATCATTAAATATTATAAATCTATTAGGTAGTTAACAGACTATATCAAGAAAAAGTCAGGATAAAAATTTAAAAAAATCAATAAAAATAAGAAAATATTGTTAGAAATTTAAGTTGTATTTTAATGTTTCCAAGGTTTAAAATTATTTACAAAAACTTTTAAATATTGAAGTTTTGGCGGCACATAAGAAACTTCGGTTGATTATATTGAATTAGTGATATCTAATATCGTAATCAACTATTCATTAGCTGATAATTGGCGTCTAGGAAATACTGTACGTCTTAAAAATAACATTTTTGAATATTACAGAAATCGGTAATACCATATTGGTATTAGTACACATATGAGTGTACCACCGAAACCCCTCGGAAGCAATTTAAGTGAAAAAATATCACCTACCTATATTATATTTTGGATGGTAATTAGAGAATCATCTACACCGCTTTCTCGAAAAAACTATGAAAATTATATAATTTAGAACGAATTTACGTGAGTAAYAGACGACATTTAAACACTTCAAAATGCACACAGACTACATTCGAACGAAAGTGATTCGGTATCCCGCACACTTGTTGGTAAACTGTTGTGTGTATAATAATATTTTTGCGACCACGGTTACACGTGGTTATTAAAATGTATATACAGTTGTTTTAGCAGGGATTCGGCGTAGGTGTGTGATATTTAGTAATTATTTCGTGTCGATACAAGAACATTTTASRGCCGTGAAATTCGCTGAATGTAATAATTATACCACTACACAATTATTATATGAAATAATTATTATAATAACTATATAATTAGACACCAAGCTGATTCAATCRATGGCTATCATCCCGACAGCATCACGTGGCAATGTACACTAACTCCTCACTCCCCGAATTCACGTGGCGCAGGTATAACGGCGCGTCCAACCCTTACACGACAACCCCTCACTTCCTCGTTAACGGAGTGCACGTGGTCGTAAGGACGCGTTCGCAGTATTTAGCTCACCCGTCGGTGCCTACACCATATGGTATTATTATTTATTATATTGCATACACACGTCAGTTTGAGCGTGTCATGTTTGTGGACCGCAAATAGCCGTCAAAGTATGATACGCGTATCGTACAACGGTACTAGGGTCATACCAATAAGTATATAAGTTCCGTTTAAAAATGGAATCACCCTTGTTTTGAATAAAATATTTTTGTCCCCGTGTCCCAACAAACTTCAAACGAGACGTTTTTTGTCTCGTTTTCACTTCGTTTTTTCAATATTTTTATGCTTAAAGTGTACATAGGTAATATTGTTATGTGCAAGAAAACCCTGTAAATGGAAAAAGAACATCATTTTTTCTGTGTTACTGATGAAAACAATATTAGGTTAGCTGTATAACCTATACAAACGACAGTTTTTAAATAACGAGTATGAAATAATGACGAATTGTTGTCGCCAGCGAGCAGCATGAGGTATAATATTATGTCTGTTATTGTYGTATTATTCTTTGTAATATTATGAACCATGACAACGAGGGTAATATTTACCACTTAAAAAGTTAAACAAGCGAATATTATCTTTAAAATATCATTAAAAATATGAAAACATTACATATTTTGAAATTTTATTTTGAWGTTTAAGGGGTAGGGATTTACCCAAAATATTTTGTCTATTTTTTATTTTTTTATAAAATATGTGGTCACATTATATATACGCGGTCAATTCACATACAGATACGTCTAATAAGTAAGTATATACAATTATGCTAGGCAACTTTTCCTTTAGATACAACTTATAGATAAAACGAACCGAGTATCAAGTTCTAATTGAATATTATTTTTTGAAGCCAATTTTGAAGTTGAAAAATCATAACATTTTTTTGTTTATAACTAAGGATTAAAAATACAACATTAAGTTTTCCTTCAAGTAGGTATAGAGAAAACTCGGAGCATCATTATAGGAAAAATTTTAAGTGCGTTTGAATTTTAAATTTTTACGAAATAGTGTAACGATAACGATTTATCCTGAAACGATTTTAAATATTTGTTATTATTCAAAAAGTATAAGTCGTAGATACTTGAAAATTTTACCAGTTATTGAGATTGGCTTTTCTTTACATAATTTAATTTTCAACATATTTTGACTATTTTCGAGATATTGATAGACAACTGAAATTTTTATTCAATAACATTTTTTTGACCCTATCAAAATACTTGAAAATTTAATACAAAGTCCCTCATAAGTTATTCTTATAATGATTAAAAAATTATAAGAATACATATGCACAATTTTTTTTTTATTAGCATTTGAAATTCAAATATTGACAAAAATTCGTCAAAACCATGAATATTTGCAAATTATTATGTAGTTAAAAATTCATAAAATTGTTTGTATTTATATCTAAGGTTATAAAATTCAGCACTAAGTTTTGCTTCAAATAGCTATAGAGAAAATTTGAAGCGTCATTATAGGAAAAATGTTTTGAGCATTTGAGTTTTAAATTTTTATGAAATCGCGTAATGATAACAATTTATCCTCAAACCAGGTATATGTATATCTATGATAATATAAAGTATTATGAATTATGATAATTGCATGCAATATTTTTGAAAAAATTGATAAACCATGCCTTATTCAAAATGCGTCCTAATTGAAAAATAAAATATTTGTTTCAAAATAGAATATATGACAATATTTAAATATAATATATCCTTGACTGACAAATCATGTGTGTTCAGAATCGTTTTTCGTATACAATGATATAATATCATTGGATTCAAATTTAATTACATCCATTACAGTAACCCACTTGTAACCTACAGCAGAGTGACATCCACTTACTCGCTATTTTTTTATTTGAATGTTTTTAACATTTCAAAATTCTGAAGGGGCGTATAGGAGTTCAAAATGAATTTAATAATGTATAAAAATATTTTTTGAGTAAACTTATTCATGACAAATATTAAATAATGTGCTTTAAAAAGTTTTATCCGAAGCCTAGACGACTAGGATAGTCGATACAGTTAGCATCAGATAGTCTATTTTGGTAAAAACACAGACGTGATCGACACACGCACACCTCCGGTCAGCCATTGCCGTCGCGCCCCATTCGAAGTGCCCAGCGTGAGCCATGCGGGGGCGTACACATTATACTAACCTTACCCGGCGCTTATCGTCCCGTATTACATACATCTTCACTCAGGATATAACAAGTGACAAGTAATTTGTTTTTGCCGACGACGATATTATGGTCGTGTGTGCGGGTCGTGTTTTCAGGTCGTCGCATTAACCACTGGTATATATATACACCCAATAAATATTATAGAAAGGTACACGCTAGGTGATGTGTACGCAGTTGGTAYTTCCGCCGAAATAATGAAATTACTCGGCGACCGGGGCGGTGGTATAATGCGCGTTGCACAGCCCGCACTTTAAGGAAAAACGAATTGCCAGCGGGATCGGGAGTCCAGAGGGACGGCGGGAGACGAACAAAAAAAGGGCAAATAAGTAAATAAACAATACGAAATCAAGAAAAACACTCACCTCCACCGTGTCCTGGGTCGGGGCTCTTATGTATTGTTTCAAGCTCTGTCTGCGCCACGCTCTGCGCTGCTGTTTTCCGACACCAAGAACACCCCCTCCTACTCCTCCAACAACTCCAACGGCTCCAGTCGTATCCATCGCAGCCGTTGTCGTCGTCATCGTCGTCTCCGTGGTCCCTRGGGGTTGACACGACCTCCAGTCGTACGCCACCGTTTATGTCAACATCTTGATATTGCTTGAAAAAAAGAAAAAAGAAAAACATTACATTGGCGAATAAATGAAAGCACAAACTAAAGTTTTCGCGGCTGATGGGTTTAACGTGTTTTGCGTACACAATTGTAATATTGTGTGCGCGTGAGCTAACACAATAGTACAATACCAAATATTCGCCGGTAAAGTGTACGTAATATAATATAATGCAATACTACTATATTATACGTAATTAAACCAACTATATTTTGACTGCGGTTCGCTTGACCGTGTTGTTATTTTTTTTTAAATACTTTTCCAGACGGTCGTTTTTGTTTTTTTTGAACTAYGCGTTTTTTTAACTTCCGGCTCTGGACCGAATTGAGCAGAGTCCTAACACTATACACGKCATTCGTGTTGATACGGGTTAAGTAGTCGGTGCTACTTTTATTGTACACAACTATATACATATAATAATGATATATAGTATATTATGAACGTACTTATATTATTACGGTATGTTTATGATAAGTAAATACTTATTACTTATATTTTATACCGGACGTTTACAGAACAAATTATTCATGCTTAATTATTTTTTGTTATTATTCTTTCATTTTTTTTTCAGTATGATATAGGTATTTAATTATTTGAAGAGCTGACTCTAATTTTAAACAACTAACAAAATCAACCAAGAAAAATCTCAAAAGGTTTTTAAATTTATGCATCGTAAAACATCTATTGGATATTTATGCTCAACGATGATGCTTTTAAAAAAAAACGAACACTCATCACCGGCTACCGGAAATTAAATACTTAAACATGACTTTTGTGACATCATTACATCCAATAAACGTTACTTAGGTACTTTGTTAAATATTCATATGATATCTCGGAGATTAATAATCTAGTTTAAAAAATTTTATTTTAAAATAACTTAACCTTTCAAATGTCTTATCAAATAATAAAATTCTATAGTTACTCATAATAGTTTCTTTTCTACTAAAACACGTATTATTTAATTTATTGTAAAAATTTTAGTTAGAAATAAATAAAGAACTTTCTATCACAGAATTATCTCTCCATATTAAATATTTAAAAAAATAAACCACCCGACGATATTAATTAACGCGATGATGATCATTAATCACGTAAACCTGTGAAAACCGAACATACTACCTTGCAGTATAAACCCTAGACCAAACAGAAAGACCAATTGAAAAGGCAATATTAATTGTATTTTTTTTCGTTATAAATGTATATAAATATGCGAGTCACTCAATTTCATAGAGTTTAAAAATTACACATCCATCTATAAAGCATGTCAAAAATTTAATTCCATCAAATTACCATAATTTTATTCTCGTATTTTGTTAGTTATATTACTATTCGCTCACTAATCTGCGTATTATTTTACTTGTAATAACCATTTGGATTTATAATTCAACAAGTTATTATAGTAGATATAGATAGTAAAGATTCTGATTTTATAAAGGGACTGTTAACGTGAAGATTTTGAATATTATGCGTAGTATCTACTCTTGAATTAATTGTTGATTAAATGAAAATCATGAATTCCACTTTTGATCACTGAAGAATGTCATTGCCCGCTTATATTTTATKTAACTGGAATCTGGAATCATTAGAACCATTTACTGTTGTAAATCTAAGAGAAAACGGGAAACTATTAAAAGTAGTTACATCAATAGAAGACTTCCTCAATCATGTAATATTAATATATTATATTAGATTTGTATTCTAATAATTAAACTGAATGCGCAATTTAAATATAGGTTAGGTTATTTATTAATAAAAATAATAAAATTGATTTTTATACTCAGTGGTGTTGCATTAATTAAAAATAATAAGTTTAAATTATGTGTATTATTTTAATTATTTTGAACATTTTTTTTTTTTATTACACAAAAAATAAAGGTTAAGTAGGTACATTAAAATAGATATGAGTGGGAAAAAGTTTCAAATTTCGTAGAGTAATTGTTTTGTTCAAACTTAGATTAATATAGTGTTATACTAACTTGCCATTTTATACACTCATATGCTAAATATATAATATATATACTATGATTATACAACAAATGTTTATATAACAGTTATAAATGGTAATATTCCAGTTCCACTTTTAAGTTTTCTCCAGTATCATGTATTTTTTTATTTACATAACAAATCAAATTATAGAAAAAAAATAAGTTTGTAGCTTTTAGATTTTTAAATAATATATTTTCACATGTTGATTRTGTAATTTGAACATCAAATCATTTAATATGTATCCAATTAAATAACTTTCACCTAAAAACAATTAAAAAATATATTATCGATGTCAGTTTTTCTCGAATATGAAAATGTATTATGTATTTTCGCATTAATTGATTGTATATTTATTATTATTGTATGGAAAAAAAAWAATATTTTTTTGTAAAAAWTTAATAAATTATGTTAATTTCACACTGTTTATTTTGACCAGTTCATAAATAGTTGAATAGAATCAAGTTAATAAAAAAAAAAACATTGATTTGTAATATGGTTTTTTTTTAACAAAATACAAACTTTGGATAAACATCAACCCACTGGATAATATTATGAAACATATTAAAGGTTTTTGAATTCTTAGTAGTGCATACATTATTCGGTATTATTAATAATATGATGTTTAATAATCCACACACGTATAAATGTAGAGTTGCTGAGTTACAAGTTTAATAACAATTAATAAATTAATAAATTGTAGTTTCCTGTTTCCGTTACAGTGTTAGACCATCATCGACAATAATGATTTCAAACGTTATTGATTTTCAATCTATTGATTAAGCATATAAAGTGAAAAGAGATTAATGATGATGAAAAACAAAAAACGCGACACGTCAAAATTAATTAAGTATTAATAAACAATACTATAGGTTCACATATATGATAGATGTATAAATACATAATATATAGAGATATATATGATATACCTAATATTGTAACAGGACGAAACTAAATAGATGTGTATTGTGTAGTCGGATTAGAGAAAACAATGAGTAATGCATATTGTTATTTGACGTCAATGAAATATTGTAATTTAAGGTACTGGACAAAAAYTAATTTAGTTTATGATTGGTACCAAGGTAGTGGTATATTCAAATTATTATTTGAATCTATTTTTTGGTATTCAGATCGTCAGAATATCTGAATAACATTAATTCATTCCAATTTATATAATGTTGCACTTATTTTTGCAAGAATATAAAATATGTGCGTCATACGCAAAACTCAGTTTTTTTTTCTTCATAAATATCCAAAATATATATGTTTAAATTTATTAAAAAAGTGTATTAAGTATACCTCAATGTATGAAAAAAAGTATAATTTAAGGAAAATTCAATAAATATCGTAAATCTTAGGTTCCTATAGGTAGTAGAATACATAAAATATATGAAATGCAAATTAAATTAAGATACTGGATTATGCGTAAAAGACGAACTGCAGATAGGTTTCAGCTTATAAAGGAATGGGATTAAGGAGAAAATAACTAGTTCAATTTGGGCGGTGATATATTAAGCAAAAAAAAAAAAAACAAAGAGTTTATGTTATGTGTAAGACGAAAATATAATTTATTGTGGAAAGAATAACGAAAAACAAAATAAAAATGGTTTTATTCGTGATACATTATCGGCCTAATTGTACGTCATGTAGAACAATAATGGTGGAGATAGACCACCGAGTTGAGAGAAAAAAATATACATTAACCTCAACGAGATATAATGGAATATAAGTTGAATGAAATAAAAAAATTCGATGGAATAGACAACTTGGGTTTGAAATTGTACGGCGGTCCGTTGTGGTATGTCTACCACTGTTATATTATTATATTCGTGCAGTACGGGGGGCCCTTTAAATCTCTTAAAATGTCATTGCCAACTTCACGTGACCGCATCCAAGCTAGATGTAACTAAGTTCGTCTTCCGATTAAAGCACAGTMCAATCCCTAGATAACCATATMTATGACCTTTTCTGTCAAATTGCGGTACGTATATATTACATAATGTGCATTATATGATACACGTGTATCAAACTTATATTATATTCCCTTTCCGGTCGATTGAAAAATGTTAGTTTTTCTAAGATATCCGACACGAAAATATAAATTAAACGTAATTTTATAGATAGCGTATGAAATATACAACTCAGTGTAAGAGCCAAGATGTGGGTAGGTAAGTAGGTATTAAAGTAATAACATTCAGTTTAAATATTACGCTATATTGTTAAAACTATAATACTTATTATAATCATCAATATAACTTGTCGGATTCGTTCAATATTTGTTTACTATTATTTAAAATTATTAAATTTAAGTGACATGAAATACTAATCGATAATAAGATAGAATGCTTTATAAGCAACAATGGGACGATCCGTTTTGAAACAACGATCATAAAAAAAAAAATTAAGTCTTCAAACATTGTTGACATAAATTATGGAAACTATAACGTCTTAAAAAAATTACAAAATCATTATCAACGGCATTCTACGCATGAATTTAATACCAAATAATGGATGATACGATGCTGCTAATAATGGAACAGCCGATGAGATTTAAGTACCGCCGACCCTAATATTTTTTAAAAACCGATTTAATTGTCACGAATTTTTTACGCATTAATTATTGAAAAAATTAGTTTTAATTTTAATAAAAAACATGACAATTTTACTTAAAAAAAGAAAAAATCTTTCAAAGAGGCTAGGAACCAGTAAGAATATTTATTAGTTAAAATATCTATAGTTTTATTATTTTTATTATGGTTTCGATTAGCATTCCGATAGGAAATCATTACAACACGTTCCTATCAATACCTGACCCGACCATCGCCCATCGGTACCATAATATATAACAGGTAAGAACGTAGGTTGAATAATATTGTAATATAACATCTTTGACCGACATTCGTGTTTGCCACACGCGAACATCATGTTTGAATATATTCGTAAAAGTGCTAAACTGTAGTACGGCTCACATAAACGTCACGACCGGCAAAGCGTTGATTTAAT